TTTTGCAATAAGAATGATATATCGAATATGAATTTGCACGTACATACATGTGTATGTGTGTGTATGTGTGTATATGCAGTTGCCCGATTAAAACTATAGGAGGAGAGGGTAAACATGTAAATTAATAAGTATTTTTATCAAATTGCTTTTACCCTCATCTGTTATTTATGAATTTTTATGTTCTAAGCAAGCAGCCTCTTCAAGTCATACTTGTAGCAGTATATAGCCAAGTCGATTTTCTCGTATGTTTGCCAAAAAAGAGTGAAATAAATCCAAGTATATTTTTAGCCAATTGAAAAGAAAAGAGTAATCTACTCAATTTCAGCTCTTAATCCTTTCATCCATAGAAAGTTGATTCCTAGAGACAAATTGATATCGACTTTGATAATGACAGGACAATACAATAACACCTTTGGCTTATTAGAATTAGAGGTTAGGCACATAATTGATGAGTTAATTGCTATGAAATTGACATAAATATTTAGTTATGGTTGCCCGTTAATTGTTTTGAAGAAATGTAGCATCATCTAACGATAAATAGGTGATTCAATGTTGGAATAAACGACTAATGAGGCTAGTCCTTGCTATCAAATGGTACTCAAAACTACTATGTAATTTGTGTTGATAAAGACATCATAAATTATTTTCAAGAAAAAAAGAGTCATAATCGATCATTAACGCTTACAATAAACTCACATAATTAGTGAAAGTAGGGATGGATATAATGATCACGGAAACTAGTGAAAAAAGTGCATATGCTACTACGGAGGTCATTATCAATAATTAGGATTAATTAACTCACATAATCCTTTCTTGGGGTTTGAGATCTGCTAGAAGTTATAATACAATTAGAGCACTTCTAAGGCCGGACGGAGCGGGGGCCGGAAACGGCAGCAGGAAGCTTCCCGCCCGGCGGAACACCGCACCATCGGCGTGGGGAAGCGTTGTGGGGGAAACGGAGAGGGGAGCCTCTCCCACTCTATCTCTCTTGCTGCGATTCGTTGGGAGTTTTTTTTTTTTTTTTTTGAAAAAGAACCGTTAATCAACGGTAAAAATGTAATTTTTTTTTGCTGTAACGGCTAATCGTGGTTTTTTTTTTGGTTTTTTTATCCTTTTTCCACTCCTATAAATACTAGGGGTGTGCAAAAAACCGCATAAACCGCACAAACCGCCCACACCGCACCAAACCGTACCGCATAATGCGGTTTAGAATTTCGCGGTGCGGTTTGCGGTTCATAATTTTGTTAAACCGCACTATGCGGTGCGGTTTGCGGTTTATAGTTACCAAACCGCGGTTTAAACCGCACCGCATCGTATATATATATATATATATATATATATATATATATATATATATATATATATATATATATATATATATATATATATATATATATATATATATATATATCAAAGGTTTCAATCACCAAATATTTCATACTGTCCAACAACTTTATTATATATCACGATGGCTAAATATGATAATTAAAAACTTAAAAGACTATGATATCAAATTTCATAAGTCATAACAACTTAGCAAAACATTATGTGGTTTTTTTGTTTTCAATATCTATGCCTTTTAAATGGTATATATAATTAATAAATTTTGAAAGTGTTTAAATATAATTAATAACAACCAAAGTTATAAATTGAAACAACTTATCAAACCGCATAAACCGCCTAAACCGTCCGCATGAAACCGCACCGCATAATGCGGTTTAGAGCTTTTGTGGTGCGGTTTGCGGTTTCCAAAAAACTCAAACCGCATGTGCGGTGCGGTTTGCGGTTTCAACTCTAAACAGCACCGCGAACACCCCTAATAAATACATACATATAACATCAAACATCACACTACCCTCTATTCTCTTTACTTTATATCAACAAAAAAAATCCTGACAATTAAACCCCAAATTCCGATCGAAGGAAAAAAAAGTCATGGTTCGAGTATAAACATCCCTACTCGAAACATTTTTGCTAACGATTCATTCCTGTAAGGAGTTTACCGTCCCCAGCTCGATGCTCCCATTCAATTCTCACTACAATTCCAATATCAAAATGTTGGCCAATATTACCCGGTGCAAGTTCCAAATGTTCCGACGCAAATGTTTTCAAACTTTGTTGTATTTTCGGATCAACTATCGCCAAATCAAACTCAACCCCAAACTCAAACTAAAACTCAAACCCAAACTCAACAACACCAACTTGTCGATGAATCGGATGACGCGGAAGAAGAAGACATGGTTCCTGAAACTCAACCAACAACACCACCACAAAGACGTAAAGGGAAAAAACAAGCGCGCGAGGGTGTCGCACAACCGGGAAGACAAAAGCCGACAACATGGGTTCCACACAAAGAGCTAGTTTTGGTCAAAACTTTGGGTTAATATTTCTGAAGATTCGATTCAGGGAAACGCACAACCGGAAGACCATTATTGGTTCCGCATTTTAGAACGATTTCGAGCGTAGCTAGGAAAATGTGACGACTACCGTACGAAACATCAACTTAATTCGAAGTTTCGAGAAATAGCAAAGGGGGTTTCAAAAATAAACGGGTTGTACAACAACCTAAAAACCCAACGAAAAAGCGGCCGATGCAACGAAGAAATACTTCAAGAAGCGTTGCAGTTTTACCTTGAGGAAGTCGGAAAACCATTCAAGCGGCACGATTGTTGGAAATTATTGGTCCAAAGTCCTAGGTGGAAAAAAATACGAGCAATATTTATTTTTGGAGTCCAAACAATCAAAGCGAACGAAAACGGGCTCTAGTGGTTACACAACCTCCTCCGATGCTCGAGTCGGTGTAGATTTAAATCAGGACGACGAACTCGAGCTAGAAGAAATTGTCCGCCCAATGGAAATGGACAAAGCAAAGAGAAAGGGAAAAGGGACTTCTTCGAGTGCATCTGATTTCAGCGTGAATATTGACGAAATGCGGAAGATAACATCGTCGTTTGATCGATATAATCTAAATTTGTCCGAACGTTTGGCTTTCGACAAAGAAAAAGAAGAAACAAAGAAAAATGAGCGGACGGAGAGATAAGAAATTGAGGACATAAAGTTTTTGATGGAAAACGTTAATCATCTCTCGGAACCGGCTCTCGAGCTCGTGATGAAGAAGATGGAAAAAATTCTGAAAAAATATTTTCCGTAGGTCGTTGTTGGTTTGTTTGATTTTTACTTTTTGTGTGTGTGTGTTTTTTTAAATTTTCTACTTTTTAAAATTTTAGGTTTAATGTAAGTTTTATTTTAATTAATGAAATGTTTTTTATTTTTAATTAAATTTTATGTTTAGTATTAATTTAAAAGTTATAATTCATAACAAAAAAATTAATTTTATTTAATAAAAAAAAATGAAGGAAAAATTTCCTATTCATTCCTTGGGTTTTAGATAAGGGAAAAAAAACTGAAGGAATGGAAGATATGACCCACAAAAAGTGAGGGAAACTTTCCTCTCACTCATTCCGGTCTAAGGAATATAGGGCCCCAGGAACCATTGAAAAGTGCATATGTGGAGATATGCATTAAGAAGTAAAATCTCTTGGTATGTTTGGTATCAAGGATCCAAATGAACAAACTAATGGAATCGTCAAGGTAATTACATTTCATTATCATGTTCGTTCGGTTGGTTGGTTTGAATGAAATAAACCATTTAGAAAAGTTCGATGAAAATAAAACTAAGGAAAAAATGTAATCAGGGGCGGACCTAGGGTTAGTCCACAGTGGCACCGGTAACCCCCAACTTTTCCGGTTGTAGTGGAAAATTTTTCGAAAAATTTATATTTTCTACTACCATACAACCCCTGGCTTCCAAGTGCAACCCTTACTGTGAAATCCTGCGTCCGCCTCTTAATGTAATCAACTAGAGATGGATCGCGATTAATTAAAGTACATATAAACTTATTTCACGATTTGTTATATCGTATATGTATTTCAAATAATCAAAAAAGTTTATCATTTTGAAAAACTTTGTTTAAAAAAATGCCATGAAATTTCAAATCTCAAAATAGATTTTATTTTTTATTTTTATTTTTTGAAAATTTATAGAAAGAATAACCTTGTTGAAAATTATGTAAATAAAACATTTCATGAATCCTCCTTTCCACTCTGTAGTGGCAAACAAACAAGATTTTTTTTTTTTTTTTTTTTTGCATTCCATTCCCTCTTTGATTAACGTATGTCAAGTAGTACCTTGAAGTTCTTGACAGAGTTTTCCTAAACTACATTGGCATCGATGATATCAGATAGCTCACAAATCCATGTTTATTAACATGTGACTTTAAATGGGAAGAAAAATAAGAGGTAATTTTGATAATTTGATTTGTGCTTCTATGAATAAGAGCATCCTTCTGAAAACAAAGATAACCCAAGTTGAGCAAAACGCCAATCCCCAAGGGAAAATCTTATCACTTGATTTTCTTTTGGGGGTTTACGATAAAAACATAATTGCTTACATTTAATAATGAGCCACAAGGAGTAGGTGGTTAAATTTCTTAAGAAAGTGGCCCCTTAAGTGTCGAATTTATTTGAATTTTAGGTCAAGACAATGATACTTATGATGGGTCCATTTGTGTCTAATTAGATCCAACATACTCCTCTAAGCTATAATCATTAATCACAGTACTGTAGTTACAATAGTCGCTAACAAATGAGAGTGTACCAAAAGCATATATAAAGTCATACATAACAAATACTCGAAATATACCTAGAGAATGTCAATTTAGGTACTAAATCAGGGTGTAGACATGATTGTGGGATATATCTGAGCTTGAGCTTTCTTTTTCCTTTTAGTATGTAGTTGTATAGATCTAGATATCAGATGTTAACCGGGTATACTCTCTATATTCTTCCATTGGTCCCCCATGTGCTATTCACTTGACATTTCTATTCAGAATCTTCGTTTCTATTGGCCTTCAGTAAGTTTTTTAGCCTAAAATTCAGCGATTATAATCTATTAACTATCGTTAAATGAGGACATTGCACATGTTCATGATACACCACCACTAAACATGTGGGCATGGAAAAAGCCATTTGGGGCATTATAGTGCACATGTCATATTCGCCCAAGGATTTGAGCCAGTTCATGTATATTGGTACTTATGCTATCAAAGTGGAACACTGCAAGAACTAATGAAATCCCATTTGTCCTGTGTGAGGTACTGAGGTTCATGAGGCTAAAAATCTACGAATTTGGCGTTTGTTTGTGAGAAGAGTGCTGACATGTTCTTTGAGATGCCATATCTTTCAGTTGAAAATAATGCGTCCATTTAAGGGTTTATATTTATAATATGGTTTTGATTTTGATTTTGTACTAATTTTAGATTTGATTTTTAAGATTTTCGTTGAAAATGATTTTAGGTTTTCCCGAGAAGGGAGATTGAGATCAAGAAGAGAGATGAAGGTGGAGACAAGACCAAATCGGTAATTTTCACAAATTTAAGGTGTTTATTAGTTTGTTACAGTTTGGTACCATTGATAAGTTTTTTTAATTATTTGGATGAAATAAAATACATGATTTAAATAAAAAAAATTGATAAGTTGTTTCTTTCTAACTTACATTATATAAAAAGTGTTTCTTGTAATTGGAAACAAATTTTCTCTTTTACCATTGCTTTAACATTATTTAAAAAGTGTTTCTTATACTTGGAAACAAATTTTCTCTTTTACCATTGCTTTAACCCTAAGAAATCCATATTGATCGTAGCCTCATTTTTTCTTCTGCACGACCATAAACACACATATAGATTTACCATTTTACCCTTGTCCTTTTTTGTCATTTTATATATATATATATATATATATATATATATATATATATATATATATATATATATATATATATATATATATATATATATATATATATAAGCAGAATTTCCAAAACACTAAAATACAACTTATCACTTTACTATGTTTTGATATGGCATAAGCTAATTCAAACACTTTTTTTTTCTGAACTACATGTTATGCTGCATAAGCTAATAGTTTGGGAAGATAAAAGCTGATGACGCAGGATCAAAATCGAAATGAAACCTGCAGATAGGGACCAAAAGCGAAAAAAATAACGTTCCTTTTTCGACATACCTTATTTTATATAATAAAAGTGCAAATATGGAGAAGTAGACATAGAAACCAAGCAGAAAGTCACTCTAATTTTATCTAAGTGCACCTACAAGGCTACAAGACAAAAACAATGCATTTCATGGAAAAGCATATTAGAGACAAGGCTAAAAGCAACAACTAACAAGTCTTGATGACCTAGCAATTTTCTATAACATGCAATATACATCTGATGTATAAAATAATACACTAGTGGAAGAAAGGAGATTACTTTAATAAACCTATCTTAGAAATCATCGATCAATATCATTCGGCTATACATCTTATAGGACGAATATATTTTGTCAACCATATGATTAGTGTTATCTAATGCAAAAGAAAAAAATAAAATAATATTAATCCCAAATGACAAAAACTATAAGAATATACTTCGAATATATTGACTCTCAATTCTTAGTAGGAAGAAGTATCGACACGGAATGATTCTTTGATCCATAGAATATGCTTAACAATGTTTGTTCTTTAAAAGAAGACAACTTCAAACTTTGGTGCAATACCTTCTTGAGAAAAAAAAAAAATTTTAAAAAAAGATGAAATTTGGAAAAAGATTTCGCGTTAAGATATCCATTATCATGCCTGAATGGGAAAGTGAGTGTATGTCTTACAAAGACTTGAAAAAGCAGTTGAATTTAATGGACCCAGAAAGACGCCATGAGGGTTTTCAACAATTACTCAAGAATGAACTTGAAAGGATGAATGATTTTTTTGTGAGGACTGAAGAAGAATACATAATCAGATTCCAGGTAGTTAAGTCTTGTATCCAGTTATCCACTCAATTATGTTATAGGTTTTATGGTAAAGAAATTCATTTCGTGTGTTGTTATATTGGAAATAAACATATAGGTGTTGAAAGACATGATAGCTGATGAATATAGCAGTGAATATACAGCACAAATGGCAAGTGATCTCCTGCAATTCCATAACAAACTGGTTTTGCTACTTCACTATAATGTCCTAAATTGTGATGGTATACATTCTCATCCTTGCAGAAAACTCAGAGAAAGTGCTATAATTATATTATAGGTTTCCATGAATTGTACTAACTGTAAACATAAAAACAGGATTCTTGAAGATCATCAAGAAACACAGGAAGAAAACTGGGAGAGAGTTTAATTTGTCATTTATGCAGGGAGATAATCAACAACTGTTTTTCATTGCAAATTCACTCGGTTTACTTTTGGCAGAGTGTAAAGAGGTTCTAGAACAACTGGTGCGCAGATGATGCCCTTGTTTGGAGTATTCCAAGTGGAATAAATGTCACGTGTTCTGCATATTGACACCATGAAATGCAGAAATTACTATATACTTATATTTAATATTGAATCATGAATGTCTCTAGCACTGACATGTCAATGGATTTAGTGGTAAATCTTGGCTATATGGGTCATTGGGAGGAATCCCTATTGAGTTTTTTCTATCCATTATGTACAATGTAATGTTAAATATTCCTATCATATGTTATATTTGGTAAAATCTTCAGAGAGAATCAGTGTTCAGTTGTACTCTTAATCAGCTTGAAACTGGTGGTGTTTGAATTACACTAAGGATCCTTTGTGAACTGTAATATCTATAGAAATAAGCAAATGCGAGTCATCCATTAAAATTGTTCTTACACAAGATTCCCAATTTCAGTGGCAAAATCACATATTCTTCTTTCCTTCTACACCCAATTGAAATTGAATTCATGGCCTCTAGAACCTGATTTATCGCCTGATACCATTGATGCTAAAGTCTCTTGGTAAGTAATTTTAGTTTTTCTTAAGGAACCGTTAAGCCTGTAGCTCTGTATTGGAACGAATAACGGAATAAGTGTGAATTTCAAGAATAGTGGTTTTCTTGTAAATACCTAAAGTGATGGGGACAATGAAGATAATTTGAACAGTACTACCAAAAACCTCGAGAAAAAACGAGAATTGTTGATGTATTGGTACATCAGTGTTGGTAGATTGATGTAAGTCGCTCTTTACACTTGTATAAATGCACCGACTCATGTTAGTTGAGGCCAGAAATGATGAAAGCTGTGTGTTTGGTAGTGCTATTTGCCATTTCCATAACATCACAAGCAAGATCAATCATCCAAAAACCTCAACCTAACCCTAACTTCAAGATCAACTCAACTAATCATCAGGTACGGGATCCAGTATCTGGTTTAAGTAAATTCAAAACAGAATTTTCACTAACATCTTTTGATTTTCCTAGAATGCACGCACCTGTTCATTCACCGTGGAGATCACGACGAGCTGTTCTTCCGTCCGATACACTCGAGATCAAATCAGTATCTCCTTCGGCGATGCTTACGGCAATCAGGTTTGATTTCTGTAAACATAGTCCGGACTTCAAACTTCGAAACAAATTAGAATACAATGTTGATGAGACATGATGATTAGGTTTACGCACCGAGGATAGATGATCCGTCGACGATGACATTCGAGCGGTGCTCCGGCGATACGTTTGAGATATACGGTCCATGTACGTATCAGATATGTTATTTGTATTTATACAGAAGCGGATACGATGGGTGGAAGCCTGAGAGAGTAGACGTATACGGGTATAATACGAGGGCGGTTTCCTTCTACTATAATGTTTGGATCCCAGCAAACATATGGTACGGGTTCAACTACTGCTCTCCCTACCTTTCTGCAAGCAATTACGATTAATGATAATGTTCTCGTTTATAGAACGATTTTTTTTCTATACACAATTATTGCTGTTTTAAAATATTATACTGTACAACTTAATAATACATAAATTATTGTGTATGATAAAAAAACTATTATATACAAATCTTAAATCCATAATTCCATATGTATCAGTTGAGTTTTTCACAGGTTCTAATGTAGACAACTATAACATAACTCGCAAAATAAAAATATAAAATTGCTTGTTTGGTGTTTTTGTTGCTTAATGTAGTCGTGTGTAACACGAACTGTGCGGATCTTTAAATAGTTGTGACATGTATGGTTCGATCAAATAAAGAAAATGAAATGAAAGAAAGCACAATAATTACGTATTATTTTAATACTTAAGTTTTTTTTGTTCTCAAAATGGTTTTGAACATAATTGTTTTATTCCTGTTGAATGTAATTATTTGGAGGGATACTTTAGTAATCTTTATTTTTTTTGGTAAAATATATTTGGACTTGTTACCATTGCAACAAGGTAAAACACATGAGAAAGTTTTTATATTTGTAATTAGGTTATAACCCACCATTAATAAATTAAAATAACATAGATGATAATTATGACAAATTGCAAAAAAATCACTATATTATAACAAAATTTTGAATTTGACCATGAGATTTTTTTTCTATAATTATGTTATTATATTTATAATTTTGTGATAATATCAACCAAAAACCAATTTTACATTTTCTACATGTAATTGTTTTTTAGAATTACAATAAAGTTATTATGTTTATCAAAATTACGATTTCAATATTGTTTCTTAATTATGTTATTTTATTTATAATTTTATTGCAATATCAATCAATGTTCATTCTTTTATATATATATATATATATATATATATATATATATATATATATATATATATATATATATATATATATATATATATATATTAAAGAATGATACTTTTTAGGAATAATAAATTTATATGACTTTTGGTAAGAATGGTTTTCTGTCTATGTGTTTGTGTTCAAATCCATCTTTAGGTCATTTTATGTCAGTACCCATATTTTGTGTGCATACGTGTTGGGACTAGTTCCGATTTTCCGGTCATTTTGTGTTCAAATCCATCTTAAGGTGCAATTTTTGTTTTTTAAAACAAATATATTAAAAAAAAAACAAACTTTTTACATCCTACAGTGAAAATGAATATGTAAAAAATAGGAATTTAATTTTTTTTTAAAAGTCATTCTTAAAACGTAAAGTTATTTTGTTCATATTTCATACTGAAAGAACTTGTCGCATCGGGTTCCCCACCTAATTACTATTAATCTGACACGTTACCAAATAAGTGACACTATAGTTACATTTTTGTTGTGACATCCTGGAATATAGGGCCAAAGTTATAACCGACCAATTCACTGCGAATCTCATGATAATCTGACTTATTGAGTTTTATAGTATGTTTGGTGTACTACTTGAAGACGCAATTCGATGTCGGGATCTCGATTCATCAATTTATAAATGTTTTGGACAAGTTAAGGAATTAGACTACTTTGTGGGACCACTAGGTTTATTAGAGCATATCCAACCCACTCTCATTTACATTTTCCTCCCATTTTTACCGTCATTCTTCTCCAATCCACCCTCATTTGTTCCCCCATTTTGGAAGATATGAATAGTATTACACCAAATATGGTGTTATACTATTCATTTCTCCTAAAATAGGGATGAACTTTGTGTTGTCGGTTTTAGTCGCTCTGTTTATATATTTATACATTTTTAATTTATTTTTACCTATTAATTATAATTTAAATGTAATATTTAATACTTATAATATTTTTTTATATATTAAATTATATTAACTAATTATAAACATTGTGTTTTGTTCATTAAATTCTTATAAAAAGTTAAATACATATTGAAATTTTAAAAATCAATAAGGTATTTTACAAAAGCTTATAAATATGTTATAAATATAATTTTATTTATTTAATGTTATTATAATAAAAAAAATATAGATTATATTTTTGTTAAAACCAAATTAGTTAAAAGGGTGTGTTTGACAACCCACGTAAGTTGGAAGAATTGAATATACTTGGAATATATTTTTTGGGGTGAAAATAGGGTAAAAATTGGAGTAGGTTTGAGATAAAACACTATTTACCTCATTTTTTACTCCATTTTTTGAAGAAAAAATGGAAGTGACTTAGAGATGGTCTTTAAGGCAAAAAAAAAAAAGTCCAGCTATTCTTTTGCTTTTCACGTGAACAACACTCAATACTCTTTTTCAATATGAAGGTATGGGGATGAAGACTTGTATGTGCATGGCTTGACTATAAAACAAGATCCAACCTTCTTTACAAGTCACAACATTCTCAGCCTCATTCCCTCTATATCTCTCCCTCTCTCACGGTTGTAGTATCACCACCAAGAAACCACCATAACCCACCACCCAAAACCACCCGTATACCTTCCCCTTTTGATCAAAAACATCACCAAAACACCACCTCACATCTCCCTTCTCTCCCTCTCATCGGTTTCTGCCTAGAAAAAGGAAGGAAGAGATGTAACCACCTTGCTACCACCACACTGCACCACCCCTATTCCACCTTCAAAACTTCACCACCTGCTGAGGTAACTCGAAGAAGGACTCCTTCATCATCCCTCCACATCCCGCTGCCTTTTTCTTCGCCGGAAAACCACGAAAAACCGGCAGCAGGAGGTTATCAGCCACTCTCCATCACCATAAAAAATCATCGCCACCATCCACATTCTCACTACTAGAAAAATTGAAATACAATACAAGGTAATAGAATACAGTCACTAAAACACACATACTAGACACGTCACAAAATGAAAATAACACGTTTATTTTTCATATGTGTTTATTTATTTTTAAGACTAACTTCTTATTACCCCAATAGTAGCCCTAAATTAAAATTGTCCAATATGTATGCTCCCTGTCATCGCCATAGCCACCGACGCCGACACCACCACCACTACCACCGACTGTTGCCGCCATCAGTAAGTTTCACTTTTACGTTCAAGGTGTCTCAATGTTGCTTAATCCTTGATCGAGTTTAGGAATACACATATATGTATGTATTTTTCGCATCTGTGTACGTATTTCGCTTAATCCTTGATTGAATTAAGGAATACAAATTTGTGTACGGTCAAGGTGGTGAAATTTCTCTTGCCATTGGAGACTTAAGAAATACACATCTATGTATATATTACACATCCATAGATGAAGGTAGTGAACGAGGTTTCATATCAGAAACGTCAACAGTAGATGAAGGCAATGAACGAAGCGAGGGTCTAGAAAAAGAGACTCAAGATTCTCTTTTAAACTTCTCCCTATGTTTGCCTCCGCTCTCCATAGCAAATTCAGAATAGCATGCACATATCTCAAACACATTGTACCATCTCTCTCTCTGTCTCTCTCTCTCTCTCATGGTTATAGATATTGAGTCTTTTAGAGGAACTGCAGTTTATGGATATTACAGAAGTAAGTTTTTGGATCGTATGTCAGCTATTTTTCCCAAGGTATTAACAAACAAATCTTTGTTTATACATGCAGTTGATCGGAAACACACCATTCGTTTATCTCAACGATGTTGTGGAAGGTTGTGTTGGACATATTGCAGCCAAATTGAAAATGATGGAACCATGCTCTAGTGTTAAAGACGGCTACTTATTTCATTAAAGTAAAAAACTTTCATTTTCAAATCTACATGTTTCTAGTAGTTGATTACTTTTTTAATTGGTTATACATACTATGTCTTACAAGATTTAAATTAATCAACACCACAATAGTTATCAACTAAGTTATTGAATCTGATGGGTGATATGTTTTATGATTGTATTATGATTATGATTATACGTGTATTGATCTTATTTTGTTCTGTTGTGTTTACTTGTGGAGCAAAAGATTGGTTACAACATGATCTCAGATGCAAAGGCAAAGGGCTCATATCCCCGGGACATGTTTGCTAACATAGTTGATATGTCCTTGAAGATCATTGTGTATTTTCAAAAATTTCCATATATCTGACACAGTTTTTGTTTTCTTTCTAAAATGTGTTCTTATTGAACCAACAAGTGGTAAGACTGGCATTGGACTAGCTTTCATGGCTGCAGCAAAGGGTTATAGGTTCATCATCACCATGCCTTCATCCATGAGCATGCAAAGACAAATTATTCTTTGTGTTGTTGGTGTTGAGTTGGTTCTTACATATCCTACTAAAGGAATGAAAGGTGTTATGCGGAAGTCTGAGGAGATATTGGCTAAAAAACCAAATGCTTACATTCTTCAATAGTTTAAGAATCCTACAAATCCAAAGGTAGCTTTCTTTAACTACTTTTGTTTTTCTATCTATTTTAAAAATCTAATTGTTTATTGTATGTTGTAGATCCATTATGAAACAACCTGGCCCAACATTTGGAAAGGTTCAGATGGTAAAAGTGATGCTTTTGTTTCTAAAATTGGCATTGGAGGTACCATAATAGGTGCAAGGAAATGTCTTAAAGAGCAAAACCCTAACATAAAAGTTTGTGTTTACTTCTTTAGAACTAATTTGATAAGTTCAACATTAGCACTGTTAATTGATTAATTTATTTTTGGCATCAGCCTGGTAAGCTACTTTGATACTTTGTTTCTTTTTTTCATAATTGTAACCTTTATATTCTATTTTCGTGTTCTCATGGTCAAATAAAAATACTAAGAAAATATACAGATGATTGAATATTGTTTGACCCATTTCAAAGAGGTAATATAATAATATATATTTATTTTCTTGCTTAATAAGCATAATGGCAATTTATATAACAATGATTTTACCTAATTTGGGAACAGATTGAAGTAAAGGAACTAATAAGGAGTCACTGCTATGTTGCTTTTAGCTGTATGATACAACAGCCTCGCGTTCCATCATCTGGATTGATGACAAACAATGATGTTCTCATATGTGCAAAGGAGGTTGGTTCGTTTGATTTGAATATAATTTTTCTACCAACTTTAGCTTTTTACTATTTATAATTACCCAATCAGTTACTTACAGGTAACCATTAACAAGGATACACTTGTTTGTCTCTTGTTAAAGCACACAAAAATGTGAATCACTGGTCTTTTTTCTTCACTCTTTTAGGCCCTGTTTGTTTCTTTTCTTTGAACATGACATGACAAAACAAAACAAAATTACACAAGAAAAGAAACACTAATTAGATTGGATGAACATATGCAATATATCTACTTTTTTGTTTGATTAGTTAGTCAGTGGAGATTGTAACACAAGTGATGAAAAGGCCTTTTTATATGCATTCCACCAAAGCTAAAGAGTTTGGTGTAATTGATAAGGTAACCCAACCCAACCAATGTTCTAACAATTTTGATGTGATATTAATACTACTGTATTTGTATTGTAGCTTATTCATATTATAAGCATGTGATCTGATTTGATTTGTTTGGATTGGTTTGGTGTTTAGATACTTCTACATGGTTAAGGAAAAGATCATGGCAGATGCTGCCCCAACAGAGGCATGGGACAAGAACATTGGTATTAAGGCATTTGATTTCTTTTTGGATGTAATATAGTATGGTTGTAAATAGATGTATTAGATATGTGGTATAGTTGTATTATATGTGATATGGAGTTATGTAATGTGAAGTGTGAGAGATAGAGTACGGTTCTTTAACCGTACTCTATTAAGTGTTCAAATCTAATACACCCCCCTTAGAATACACCCATTATTTCGTATTCTATACCCCAAAATAACCGTACTTTATTTCCTGTTTTCTAGTCGTGTCTGGCACTGCTATGCAGCTACTTAGCTTTCTCAAACCTCCCCCACACTCCCTGCATCAAAATCCGAACGAAGTAAGCAAAAACAGGTGGCAGAAGACCATCGGAGTGGCCTCCTGCCACCCTCTTCACCCCTACCGCCACCGTTGTTAACCTCCGTCGACCACCATCAAACACCATCTCCACCACTATAAGTGACCTTCCAAACACCTTTAAAATTGTTGGGATCGTTTTCGTCGATCGATCATAACCTCAGGACCGATCTCTTTTTCTTTTTCTTTTTCTTTTTCTCTCGTGTTTCTCGTTTATTCGAATGGCCATCAGATACACAGGAGGTATATGTTGGATTAGGTGTCTAAGCCAATAACTATAATTGGTATGTATTTGACCCGAGAGTAGCATGCTCCATTTCGGGTTGCCTTCATCAAAGCAATTTGACAGGATGGATATTTGAGAAAGAGGTCATTTGTGATTTATTAATATAATATATTATTTGAGAAATCATATTATTTAATTAGTATTGGTCAAGAATTAATTTGGAGTTAATTTAGTGATCAAAAGATATTAATTAAATTTGTAGGGACTGATTAGGTAAATTAGTGATATTTATAGTTTGGGCTAATGATCCATGTTGATTAGGATTGGACTAAATCTTTGTGAGAGTCCATGAAGAGTTAGTCCAAAAGGCTAATGATTTATTGGATTAAAAGCCCAAGTGAATTAGGGTTTACAAGTTGAATCCCTAGGAATTCCAAACTATAAATTGAACCCCTAAGCTTGCAAAATCAACCACTAGTACTCCAGGAGGTAAACCTAGCCATTTTTGGTTCTCCTAGCCTCTGTCTCATTATCCTCCAATTGCTCTTGGTGTTTGTGACATGTTTGAGGCATCACACTTGAGGTGCTAAGCTCTTGAAAGGCAAAGTTCCACAAGATACAACAAATAGGTAATCTTCTAACTAGTTTTTATGATTCATGTATCAAATTTTATATGCTAGTTAGGCTTCATGCTTTCGAAAATAATATTGCATATATAACTAGAGAAAACTTAGATCCAAATCATTAGGGTTGTATGTGCACCATAGGGATGTTAAAGTACATAAAACCCAATAGTGGTATCAGAGTCTTGGGTGTTTTCTATTATATAGATGCATTGGTTGATTGTTCAAAGCAAAAGAAAATCATTTTTTTGGAATCTGACAGATGACCACAACGTGGTGGACCATCTGTGTGAAGATTTTCAAGTTTTTTTTTTTTTTTTGCCATTTTTAGATTTGGATCATTACCACAAACTATTTTTGGATTGTTAAAATTCGTTTTTTCTTATAAGGTAATAATTATCCTCATCCAATTAAAAGATAAATTATCAAATTATAAAATACTTACTTGATAATATGATAAGCTAATTATTTGTATTATTTGATTTATCTACGTGAATTGTAATTATGTCAAATTTGTAAAAGATAATTTGATTATTTTTATTGGTTAGAATTTGATCTAAATGGTTTTGAGAGGTTACAAAACTTGCCATCAAGTTTTGGAACTCAAAAGTTTTTTAAGGAGTTACAAAACTTGTCATCAAGTTTGCAATCCAAAAGATTTTCAAGAGTTACAAAACTTGCCCTCAAGTTTTGGAACTTAAAAGGTCTCTTTTATGAAACATTAACTCTAGTAATTGAAAGGTTTCAAAAAGTGCAAATTTTGGGTTCATAACTTAATAAATTAATTAAATAGTTTTAATTTTGTATTTTGTATTTAGAGCCTTGATGTTTCCTTTGAATAATTCAAATTACACTCTTATGGACTTTATTAAATTGATTAAATGTTTGATTAAAAGAGAAAATTAATAAATCCATAATCATATGGTTTAAAATTAATTAAATTAAAAGTTTAATTTATTAATAGATTAAACCACCTAGTATTTTAAAAGTGTAAAATACACCCTTATACTATATAAAATTAAAAGTTTAATATATTATATATGTATAAGCAAAAAGTTAGTCTTACCGTTAGTAGACTTAATTCACGAAGTTGGTCTATAAGGGGTGTTTAAGAAAGCGGCTTGTAAAATGGCCACCATTGGGTATCCACTCTTACCAACCACACCCTTGACCAGTGGAGGGTCGTTAGTCGAACAGGTTTGATAGGACACTTAAATCCTCATTAAAAGTGTAGTGAAATACAAAGTAACTAAACGCTTTATAAATTGTCAATCTTATTTACTTTAGGAAAAATGTGAATTTGATACTAACCCATGAAATTGCACCTTATTGGTTAGTTAGTGGAGCGTGTGTGGTTAACGGCACACTAATGTGGACTAATGAAGGATGACAATGGATTTCTCATAAATTATCATTGATCAATGGAGCGCTTGTGGTTAACCGACACATTGATTAGGTGATTAATGACATTGAGAGTACCAAGCTAATTTGTATGGCTATTCACACCTTGTTTGTGATCCTCGGTATCCCAGTCACAAACTTGAAGGGCATAATCGAGATTACACATGCCATTGAAAAGTTCAATGAATCTCAAAGAATCTAGGAATTTCAATTCATTTAAAACCTAATGTTCATTTTTATTTTTCATGGTGGAAATTGGTAAATCGTCATTTACCTACATTCAAATATTTTACAATTGGATTATGACATCCCTCTTCCTAATTGTAGAATATTGTGTTGGGTCTTAGCCTCAATATTTCATTTGGGTGTTATATTAAGGACTTAAATCAACCAATTTGAATTTCTCCCTTGTAGATGTCTAATACTGACAGCTATGGTCTTCTCGAATCTTTTGGAAAAAGATTTCCTCATGAAGATGATATTCCCCGAGCTATTAATACCAAAAAATCAATAATCCTACTTAGGGTAAAATGACCATTTTACTCCTGATCTTATTTGGTCCATGACCTAGGCCCAAATCCATCTCATGAAGGGCTCAATTCCATATAGTTTTTCCGAGCCCTCTAATGGCCCACTTGAAACATCCCAGAAATATGACCCAAAAATATCCTTTTTTTTAAACATTAATAAAACTAGGGATGAGCAGTTTTTCGCAAATCCTGATCCCGTACTGGTACCGGTACCGAACCATACCGAATTTAAAAATATGGGACGGTACGTGGTACTCCAAATACACAAAATTCGGTACCGCCGGTACCGATACTAGTACTGAAAACCGGTACCATTCGCGGTACCGGTACCGGTGATTTTAATTCGGTTCGGTACTCGGGATTAACTTTTGATCGAATTCGGTTTTTAGGAAATCGGAAATGGTACGGGTTGGTACCGGTTCCATCTCACACTCATCCCTAAATAAAACCATCAACCATCCAAATTCATAACTAAAATCATAATCATGTATCATAAAACATCATAGTATCTGTCTCAAATCAAAATATCATATCAAATCATCAAAGTGAACTCCCAGGCTGTAATTGTGGTGTGTGCCATGCGATCAACCCGAGCCCTTCCCTTTGCTAGTGGAAGTACCTGTAGCCAAAACTGAAAACTGTAAGCACAAAGCTTAGTGAGCTCCCCCAAACTACCACATACCATACAATAACACAATAACACACACTGGGTCTTGCCCACTGCATCGGGCCCCGCCCGGCATCGGACCAAAGTCCGGCATAATCTGGGCCTCGCCTACTGCATCGGGCCCCGCTCGGCATCAGAACGAAGTCCGGAATAACTTGGGCCACGCCAACTGCAACGGGTGTCGCCCGACATCAGACCGAAGTCCGGAATAAACTGAACAAAACATAACATGAACAAATAGCATAATCTCATACTGCATCAGACCGAAGTCCAGATCATAACACATATCACAAAAATGCATGAATCACGAAGACATCAAGCATACATACTACTGCATCGGGCCCCGTTCGTCATCAGACCGAAGTCCGAAACTACTATCATCTAAACGGGTCGGCATTGTGGCCGTAGACCCGTTCCTATTGGAAGGAAACTCACCTCGTAAAGCTGATGGCTGAAAAGCTGATCGGGAACTATCTAACTGCTACTCCGGTAACTCCCCGACTACAATTCCCATAAAGACACTTAAGAAAACACTGATAACTAATCTTAGGGTAAAATGATCATTTTACCCCTAGTTAAAGTCAACTTCCAGTTGACCTGACTCGTCGAGTTGGGATGCTAACTCGTCGAGTCCCTATCCTTTCTTGTATCCTTCTATTTGATTCTACTCGTTGAGTTTTGCAAAAGACTCGACGAGTTCCTCTTCTATGATGATATCTATTAAACCTTCATCTGACTCATCGAGTTGTATGAACAACTCGTCATGTCCTCCTTTATCATATGAACACGTCCAGACAATTACTAGCCGAGTTGTATGAACAACTCGTCGAGTCTGTTCTTGTGGTAAGGAGTTTGCCTCGGACTCGCTGAGTGTGTTCTAACACTCGTCGAGTCCCATGGTTTCCAGATCATGGCTATGTCTTAAAACATCGAATCACTCCTCTGGACTTGTCTAAATCCTTGCTATCACTCAGTTGGGTTCCTTTGAGCCACAACAGATTGGGGACTGAAACCTCGGACTTGTGGAGTTCCAAAAACGAATCGTCGATTCTCCTATTGTCCAAGTCTATAACTCGATTTCTGACATACAACTCTTAATCAGAATGTAGATATGGGCTTCTAAGACCGATCTAGCACATAAAGTTATGAACTTTACGTGCGTGCATGGAAGTATAAGCTTTAAGAACCCAAAATGAGGTCTAAAGGGGGTGCATGGGCTAATATGGCCATATAGCTTGCATCTTTATGACATGAACTCGGTTATAGAGTCTAGATCTGAAGATGAATCAACTTGGGACGTCCAAGTATTAAGGATCAAGCTTATTGATCCCCAAAACTCCATAAAGAGGCAAAGGAGAAAATATATAAAACCACAAGTCAAG